TATACCATGGCGAAACGTGCAATGTGCATAGTAGTTCCCTGTATGCAGCTGTCGCTGTGCTAAAGCCGGCTCTACTGGGCCACTTTCCCATGCTTTTGCTGACTCGCACTGTCTGCACTAGACTTTCCTTCTCAGGAAAGTGTCTCAGTAATTTTTCCTGGGCAGAAGTTGGCCGGTAGAAATGACCGCGTGGCTCAGTTAAAGTAAATGAGAGGAAAACTTCCCGGAATGTCTACACTGGACTAAAAATAGAAAAAGTATTAAACCATCATCCCGGGAAATTTGACAAAAAAGTCCAGTGTGAACACAGCCTTTGACAACTGACGTCATTCGCAAGAGGCTTGTACTGGTTTACGTGTAACTCTTATTTTCAGTTCTTGGAATGCCCAAGTGCTTTTCACCAGTCTAGATTGATAAAGTGACTGGTCTTGGATGAAATACATTATCTGTGCCATTCTGAATATGAAAATGGAACTACACAGAAGTGTGTTGAGCTGGTGATGAGAGTCAGGCACTGTGTCCTTGATGAGCATTGAGGATGATTGGTTTTCTGTCTTTTTTTTCCTGCTTAAACTTTGACTCATGCAACACAGACAAGTGAAAGTGGGCCCAGATGCCAATTCATTGTGTATAGTGCCAGCTGCATGCAACCATGAAATGAGACAGTAATAGGATTTTTACTAGGGCAGCTGTATAGGCAGGTACTGAGGTCATCATCAGGAATCAGTAACTTGGAGACACTTATCCAACATGAATAATTATCCATCCAATGAAAAAATTGGCTTTCTTCGTGTTTGTTGGACTTTGAAGTTGTGGTTGATGATGTTACAATTTATCATCACCATACAATACATTTTGAAAAAAAAAGAAATATTGGAAAATCAGCAATACCATTTTTATAATGGCAATTTTTTCTCAGTCTGGTTTTCTGAAAATGAAACGACGGTGAAACCTCACTTATCCTTCCACTGAGCAAAACTAACCTTTTGCTGTAATATGTACCTAATGTGTCAAAACGTAGAGCTGAACTTTAATTATGGCTCACTAGGATTCTATACACATTAAATGCCAACCATTAAAACAAGCCTGGTGTGAATAGACTGCATTTCATGCTAAGGCCAAAAAGAAAGATAATTTTTCTCTGGTCAGACTGATGTTCTGGAATTGAGACAGCTATGTGGCTTTTTTTTCCCCTTCCTACAGGGTGGGATTGTGCAGACAGTTGCATACGCACGTTATTGAGTCTTGGGACTAGACCAGCTTTATTATGATTATAACTTTATAAGCTGACAACAAACAATTTTGTATCCATAATCTGCTATCATTGTTCAGCATCAATCTCAGTGGGATCTATCGCCCTGTGTAAAAGATCGAGCTGCCCACAAAAATGTTGAGGCATTGGGGCAATAGAGGGTGCTGATGAAGCTCTCACAGAAAAATAAAGATTGACGCCCATGCTTGAAATCATCTTGGTACCCCTAGGACTGTGGGTTTGTTGTCACACCTTGTTCCCACAAATCCCATAGATCTCTGGTATCCACGTGGCTTGTGAGTGACTGGTACTGATGACATCGGTACAATGGTTGATTTTCAAGGAAATTAGAATTCTTTGCAGACATTTTGATCCTTCAATCCTTCAATTTCAGGTAGTTGTTAGAAAAAAGCAATGCTTTTTTTTTCATAAATGCAGAAGTTTGAGAATCGACAAGAATTAGATAAAAACAAGTGGATTAGAATGCTCTTTAGTAAGGGTATGCATTGTCATGAGTGTGCCAATATTTGAACCAAGTCCCATTTCATGTTTAATTAGAGGAGATTTGCTTGCAAATAAACAGGATTAGTATTCCAGATAAGTTATCAGTTTGTGAGGTCTCTGATATCAAAAGAACTTGCTGCTGTGCTTGTACATACATGTACATATACATGTACATGTAGCATGGATACATCAGTTGCTACATACAGCTGTACATGTAAGTGTGAAATGTACAGTAAATTTTCAGTTTGTACCTGTTTCTCCATTAAATTCATAGTTGATTGGACTGAAAAAGGGCCAGCCATGTGTTATTCGTGAGTGGTTTCAAATAAGAATGAGCCAGAAACAGATATTCATTAGAGGCTTTTTCTTGTAACACACTGTATGCAAACTCTTTGTGCAATCTGTAAACCCAGGCACCATTTGCATGATGGTGGAAATAGTTTCCATAGGCTGTTCCTGTGTACATCATCAAATGCTCCTATAATGTCACTGTATTAGTATCATGTCTTCATATGGGTAATTGCTTAATGGGAGAATTCATTACTAGGGATGCTGTGTCAGCTCTCAGTAGTTAATAGCATTGGTTGCACATCCTTGATCATGTCAGGGTGTCTCACTCATCAATCAGTTACTGAGGCGGCAGGCAGCCTGCAGTTGCCTGGCTACAGTAAGTGGTTGGAAGGAAGCTGCTCTGTCAATACTGGTCTTTTTGTCTCTGGACTCATTACAGTCTGGACATCAGCATTGCCCGTGGTGCCTTGCACCCTGCTTGCACCAATCAGTATATTATCCCTGGCACCAAATATACATCAATTATGTTAAGTATTTGCAAGTGCAGTCACACCCTTTGTCCTTGTAGTGATAATTTCTCCGTTGTTCTCTATTCAGGCTGCAAAACACAGCTTGAAACTATCTTAGATTGAAATGTGTGAACATTTACCCTGAAATATCTCCAAAATGGTGGATAACATTCAACTAGTTGCCTATCTTGCCCTTCTAGAACCCCTCTAAATAGACAATCTCTACTTCTGAAACTCACCCTAACCAGATGTAGCCAAGACTTATGAGCCCTAGCACCACTGATCCTGACTTAATCTGGCAAAATTGGCACTGACTCACTGACTTTTCTACTTGATACAATTGTCAGCATTGGTGTGAGGATGCTGTATGTTAACACGAAGGGAACATAAATTTCAAGACAGTAATACCAGGACTGATTGGTTGATGTGCTGAAAATGTCACATTCAACGTGACTCATCTCTGACATTCTACTATTCAGCAAGAATGCCATTAATCTTTATGTTTGTTATGTGCAAATGTTCTGTTGGCTTTGTGATGTATCTTTGTGGACCCTCCAAGTACCTTATTTGGCCATTAGAAATGCTGAAACAGTTGCCAACTGGGATCTTCACCAAGCTAACCTCTTATTTCAATGACAAAAAGAAATACTTATTTCCCACAAATTACACGTTGTTTAAGAGTGAAGTCTGCATGGGGGGAGCCAAAGCAGGCATTGGTTGGATTACCCAGATGGTTAGACTTTGTGTCTGTTTTCTGTCTGCAGTGGCAAAAGGCCAAGAATCAGATGGCACAGTTTCCAGAAGTCTCATCGACCAAGCCTTAATTCAAGGTAAGGGCTTACCAAGACCACACCAACTATTAACTCCACTGATTTGTCTGTCTGATAAGTTAAAGGGGCTCTGTAGTGGTTGACATTCAGGATATTGGAAAGAATGTCCTCTATTTAATACCTCTGATCATCAACTGTGTTTTTAAGTGGACTTAATTTAATAAGCATTGACTAAGTCATTTAATCTTTGCAATAATCAAATCATATTTCCTGGACATTTCAAGTCTAGATAAATTGTTCTGGCCAGAAAGTGATAAAATTGATGTGGCATTTGATAGCTTGACAGTACTTATAAGGATTTCCCAGAATGCTTACATGTACATTTTGACTTACATTTAGTTACAAGATACTACTGTATTTTACGGAGTTCATGTGAGAATTATGTATAATTTCCAACTTAAATCGGGAATGATTCTGAATTTGGCTGAGAAAGTGCGTCCCACTTATCCAGGCCTACAGATGGGCATTCATTTGTCTAAAACCCTGAACTCGTTCCTCATTTCATTATTCCTTGATGAACAAGCCCAAAAGTGCATATGGTAGAACAAAATTTGTTGCCATAGAGGCAAAAAAGACTCAGCTGTCATAGTTTTACTGATTTGATGGTTGAAGCATTCTTTAATGGGAAGCTGTCCTTATTTTTGAAGCTTTCCTGACATGACTCAATGATTTGTATTGGTTAGACATCTGTATCAGAACCTACACATGTACAAATTGTAGGCCTACATGTACAGATGCTGACTTCACCTGCAATTTTGTGAACTGATAAAACAAGCTAACATACATTTATGTAGATCTCTGCCTGCACATTAACCAAAATCGTTGAACTCTGATGTAAAAAATTTATATCCATCCAGGATTTAAAGCCTGGTGACTTTAGTAGGTCTCCCGTGTACATGTAGCCTAGGTCAGAGACCTGATTCCATTCTGATCCCACCAACAAAGTCATCTGCAGTTGTTATTCTTTTTAATAGTACATGATAAAAGCACAATTAAGTGTTAGGATTCAATTTTTCAGGCCATTTCAGATCTCTGGGCTTTCTGTAAGCCAGTTACTGATCCTCCGGAAGTTGTCACTCCTGAAGCTAACATCCCTGATGGAAAGGCATTCTGTAACACACAGAAGTGGATGGAGCTGGTAAGAAACGAATTTCTTCCACAGACTTTCTTCCCCTCCCCCACCCGACTTCCAGCGATTCCTTGATAGAATTGATTTCTTGCTTAATTTGCCATCTGTTTTGGCCTGTGTGCTGAAACCTGCACCCAGTGAACAGACCATTGCGTTATTCCACTGAAGGACCATTCAGTAATTACGACTTTGATCAGTCAACTGCCAGTGAGAGTGTTCACCAGTGCCTGGTTGTAGTTGTCTCCAGGCTGTGTACAAAATGGTGGGCACCTTTGACAGATGACAGAGTATTAAGTTACAACAAAAGACAAAGTAGCGATTGATGATTTTTTTCTTTAAACTTACCAGTGGGTGTCAAGATGCCTTGATGAGCCTTGATTTCAATCAACTGTTAACACTAATGTGTAATCTTATATCTGTACAGGATGATGCCGCGCTTCATGAAACGTATCAAGAGTCCAGACTACAAGGATCGCAACATCTTTGGTGTACCTCTCCTGCACATCCTGCAGACCACAGGCCTTCCACTTCCACAGAGCATTCTGTATGCCATGCGATTCCTGCGGCGAACATCTGCTGAGGCAGTGGGCATCTTCCGCAAGCCTGGGGTCAGATCACGGATCCAGCAGCTGAAGAGATTGAATGAGAGCAATCCAGGTAGGAGGGCAATATCCCCAAAAAGTGAAGGGTAAAACCCTGACAGGATGGACAGGAAGGAGGGCAGTTCTTTGATGATGTGATAGCTCATTGTTAATGTCTCATTTCTCTGGCAATTTACATAATTTGGATTAGGAATTTTTAAAAATTCACTCTAGTTTTTTACTTCTCCATCTTCTGCTGCTATTGGTTTGTTTTTGGTTGTCATTGTAATCTGTCTGTCCATGGTATCACCAGAAATGTGTGTAGCTCTTTTTACTGGGGGGGGGGAAGAGGAGATTGAAGCATTGAGCAGTACCACTATATTACTGCTTCAAAGTAGTAGACTAACAAACCATCAACAGTGTGTCCATTCTGAGGTACATGTATATTCATGTAGACTGGCAGTTTTCATTCCCTTTCCTCTTTTCATTTCCTGCCCTTTTCCCTAAGTTTTCCCCCAATAGGAATACTGATCCCCTCGCCCCTGGTGATGCCGATGTTTGTAGGCCTACATCTTCTGTGGTTGTCCTCATAGCTTTCCATTTTATATCTACTTGGTTTTAATATTACACCCATAGTTGATCCTTGCTTCCTCAACCCCTCCCCTCACACACCTATCCATTCCCATAACCTCAAATTGAATATACTAGGAATGACAATAATGAAACGTATGATGAATGATTCTCAACAATTGCCAACTTGCTTCCTTAGTGTTCCCCAATGTATAGAGATTTCTAGTGAAAGAGTACATTATTCATCTTACATCAAGTAGAATTTACATGTAATAGGATGTAAGCTTTTTCTCTTCCAATGTACTAGTCTTCTGAACAATAAACCTCATGATTAATAATGTTCTTCCATGAGGCAGATAGTTTTGAGCTGGATGACCATACCTAGCCTTCAATATGAGAACCCTTGACGGTTTCCTTATGTAGTCATCTCTCCTTCATATCCCATCATGGTTCAGGGTCGTGAAGTCTTCCGGAAGCTACCCCAAAGCCAGGATTAATTTATCTGCTGAAGTAATTCATGTCTACATGTGTAATTCACTAGGGTCTTCCCTTGGGTGTTTGGTAAATGTCTCTTATTCCTTTCCCATGCAACAAAACTGTACCCCCTAATCTCCCCCCTGGCACCCTCCTAGACAGTTGCTTTCCCAGCAAATGTCAGCTCTCAGTGTCTGTAACTATTGTCTGGGGGGAAAAAGTCTTGGGTTATTTCATCTTGTCAGCTGTCCAATGTGCCTTACATGATGCTTAATTTTCTCAAGCAATCTAGTTTCATTTCCAGGCTTATATCCCCAAGGATATCCCTTTCCTTGCAACCTTCTAATAAAAACAATATTGTCTTTCAGGCAGGATTGACTTATCAGTTAGAGTTGGTGTCATAAAAGCAAATCATCTGCTGCACTTACTTGTATTTCATGTCTTTGGCATTGAGCCAGGTAATCTAACTTGACTCTGCCGCAGAAAGCCAGATCATCCTCTCTTGCTCCATGTCTTTTCTTTCCCTAGTATTGATCATATGAAATATTCACTGCTCTACAAGGTTGTAAACAGGTCTTCAAATATACTATTAACAAGTAATTTCATGGAACACTAGTGGTTAATGATGTCATCATTGTCGTTTTGTTATTCTTGTTGTCATCATCATTTGTGGGTTTTTTTTTTTTAGTGGTCAAAACTTTATTGAAATTGTTATTTTTGCCAAAAGGTACAATAAGAGGTCTGTGTCTGCATAGTCCGTTGGCAAAGATGTCTCACAATAAGATGTGTCAGCATCATTAATTACCCATACCCAGGAGGCGTCTTAATATCTTTGTATGTTTGATTTCTTACTTGCAGATAATATGAGCTATGAAGGCACAACAGCATATGATGTGGCTGATATGTTGAAACAGTACTTTCGAGATTTACCTGAGCCTGTAGTTACAACCAAGCTGTCTGATACATTTATTAGCATCTTCACCTGTAAGTATCTATAGATAAGGTTTATTGCAAAATAAGTAATAATCTGCATTCAACAGTCTTGGTAAACATATACACCATAGTGATACATGTAGCTATTACATATAAACTAACTTCAGTTTGCGTCACTTCCTACTGTGGTTAAGTGTTCATCAAGATATAAAGGTTTGTTAGTAATTTCACTGGACTGTGCTACAGTAATTTGATCAATTCTGTATAATTTTGTTATTCTAAAAGGAGTTATTCATATGCAAAATGCTTAAGGTAGATATGTGTGTCCCACTGGGGGCAGTCTTCATAACAAGCAACTTGTCTTTGCTGTCAGCCACACTGTCCTGTTGCATTCCCAAATTGTAAAGTTTGAAAGGTTGAACACGCCAAGACGCTCTTTCAGCATTGCCAATCATGTGGAAATGTCCTGTTCTTGTCTCAGGACAAAGAATATCCTTCTAGTAAAGCAGGGAAATATTATTGAAATGAGATAAGAGTGGATCTATGGATCTCAGTATTTACCAGTTTGCTGTCACAGTTCAGTTGCTTAATGTGTTTCAATACTACCATACTTCCGGAGTTGCTCTGTACTTTTGTTATGATTTGAGGATGCTTGCATACTGGTGCATGTGTTACACAATGATGACCCCATTAACAGATTCAAGGCACAAGGACAAAACAATTATGAAGAGATACAATTTATTTCAAAACAAATCGCTTCTCTGTGTAAAGCTAGATTACAAGGCTCAGCTGATAGTCTATGGAAAGTGCACATATTAATACAAGTTGGTACTGCAGTGATAAGATGTTTTATCAAGTCAGACCTCAAATTCAAAGTAGCATGCTTGAACTGTCCTTGTTAAAAAGTGAAAATTTTACAGCTCCAAGTTGCCATATTTGTAGTTTTACTTGAACAAAATGTGTGTGTTCTATGCTCTAAATAAATCACCATTATTATGCCGTGTGGCTCATTATAACAGGCATATTTGTGTCGCCCAGCAACACCGTGTAATAGATCTCCAGAACAGTGTCAGCCTAGCCAGTGCATGAGGTGATTTGGCTCACTCTGTCAATACCACCTCTCTCTGGGCCAGTCTTGTTGCCATGGCAAGGCTGAGATGATTTGTTGATGCCCTGATTCAGAGGAAGGCAAATATTAGTCCATATCCATGCCAAATTTGTTGACAGAGAACGACCCCTTTACCAAAGTGAAGAGATGTACACTTTTCAAAATGGCTAAACAAGAAATCTAACATTTGAAATAAAAACTAGTAGTTCAGACAAGGAATCCAACATTTACATCCAAAATGAGTGGCACATTCAAATCATTGTACAATATTTTCACAGTGGGCGGAGCCATGAAAGAACTTTCGTCTCTGTCCTTGCAGCAGTCATTGAGCAAGTCCTATTTTCCAGTGCAATGCAATGCTGCACCTATCATTATCCATATAAACTGCAACCCTGGATTAATTCTGGAAGAATTCTGTACCATCTCAGTGTAGCTGTGCTGTTGTGGATACAACATTATGAGAGGCTATAAACTGGAGGAAACTTTGCATACATGCTGCAGTGATTTGGGGGTAATTTGAAACAGTAGTCCACTGTGTGTGTTTTTATGTGGAGAGATTTTCTGAGAATATGCAAATGTCAAAAAAGTTCACTCATTTGTACACATAATTCCATAAACATTAAACACTAATATGCCAGCAGTTAGTGCAGTATGCAGTGTACTTGCTGTTGTGGTAAATACCTTGTTCAAAGAAATGAACAACACATTCCTGTTACTTGGATTTAACCAATAACAAACCTGCTTGCTACTGTTCTTTGATCAGCGGGAATGCCAAAGGACCTGCGTTTGTCAGCTCTCCAAGCGGCAATCATGCTCCTACCAGATGAAAACCGTGAGGTGCTGCAATCACTGCTGCTGTTCCTGAGTGATATTGCTGAAAATTCCAATGAGAACCAGGTAATTGCCTCCAATGGAATTGCACAGTGAATTTCACTGGTGTCTGTGTGACGCAGCACTCATAGTTTTTAATTCATTGCAGCCTAGGTTTTCATGGGTTTGTATGTCAATAATTTCACGAGATTGTTAAATTTTCTCTCCTGTGTGCTGCGTAGAGCATGAAGCAATTTCGTCCCTCCAATCAGGCAAAAAGCTGGGGTAACTTTTCATGCTAGAACATGATTATGAACACTGATTAAATGACAACATGGCATCCTTTATTAAATTGGAATTACATCATATCTATAATTAATCAGTTTCCTAAAATATCAAAGGCAGTTTTAATCTCACAGTCCATTTGTGAATTAAGTACTAAGCCATCCGAATTTTGCCTTCTTTTCAGATGACAGCCTACAACTTGGCAGTGTGCTTTGCCCCCTCCTTGTTTCAGCTGGGGAAGAGCCCAACCCCTACTATTCGTCAGATCAGCAGTCCCCGCCGCACACGCAAGATGGCCACATCTCGGCCAGACCAGAAGGAACTGATAGAGAATGTGGCTGCTAATGAGTGTCTAGCTCTCATGATCAGGGAGGTCAAGAAACTCTTCATGGTTAGTCACAAAACAATTGTTGACAATTTGCCCACTTCCTAAAAATGAAAACAGTCTTTTCCTAACAATTGTAAGATTTGAAAGTAAGATTTGTAATTGTAAGTCTTGATTTATTTCCTTCCTGTCATTAAGAAGGCCCTAAACCCGAGAATTCAGTAACTATTTGATGCAGAATTGATTAGCAAAGTTTTTATTTCATTTAATACACCATTATCTTAATTGTGTTGTTATCTTTTTAAAAATTCATATTCTTGGGAAAAGAAGTTAACGATAGCAAACAACTTTCAAAAACAAAAACAAGGAAAGCGATGAACAGCAAAACCACAAATTTCAGTGATGTTCTTAAAAACATGGATCCAAGTATAAACTGTGGGTGCTTTGCTATGCACGAATTGGAAATTCATCTAAGCAGTGCTTTTAAGTATGTTGGTTTCCCTCAGTGCACATGCAAATTGGTAACTCAATAAGTCGCGTTTTGGACTGCGCGCACCGACAATGACTTCTATTAATAGAAGCACAATCTACTCCGGAACTTGATCAACAAGAAGTCAGATCTGCAAGAAGTGCTAGGTTGTCAGTTACCTCATTGACATTAAGCAATCTATGGTTTGGCAGGATTTCTGGTTTCTGCAGGCCATGGAGTTATTTTAGGTCCATCATATTTCTTGGACAGGATCTCCTTTCATGATGGCCAAATCTCTCAATGAGAGTCCAGGCCATTTCTTCAAATTAGATTCTGAAACCAAAAACCAGTTGGATTCCTGAAACTGCCTTCCAAGAAATTGGAAATAGAATTGATATTTCCCTACGTGCACTTCAACCTTGAATTTCATTGTAACTGTGCTTTTGGGCTTGAAATACAATCCGTTGATAATGTCACTGTGAAATGGTGTTATTTAATTTAAAGAAAAACACACTTTCTATTTTGTAACAGTGTCCTTTCTCCACTACGGATTTCTCTTACTTGTGCTTTATTCTTTAAAAAGTGAGCATGGACATTAGAAGACTTCTCCAATTTAGCAAAATATTTATTGATTACTATTATGAATCCAGCCTATCCGTCAGGTCTTGCCAGTGATGAGCCATATAGTGAAAGATGTTGCTTGCAGTTCATTTTGTGCAACAGTAGTCTTCATGCATTTAGTTTGGTTTATTAATTTTCAGTATAGAATTGGAAAGTAACTGTGAGGCACGATTGCATCGTGAATTTTCATTCTATAATGTGCATGTTTCCAGGTACCGGAAGACCTGATGACCAAGTGTCATTTCTCATACATGGACCTGGGTGAGCCTGTAGAGTTAGAGGAACTGGGCAGGAAAAGCAGCGAGGAGCAAGGTGACTACATGAGCCACATGGAGAGCTGCCTTCAAGGGCTGCTCAAGGTGAGAGACAATTCTCTATCTTGCAAGTGCTTCCCCTGCTCATGTGGTTTGGTCTAGATCAAACGTGATTTATAGGACACATTGCCACACACACAAAATGTTAAACAGTAATAGAATTTCTCAAACAGCTTTGTGTTTCATTTATTTGTTTGATTGTTTGGTGTGGTTTGTCCGACTTGTTTGTGTGTTTATCTGTTTCGTTCATTTATTCTGAATGCCCCATATTCCCCTACAGGAATCCAGAGACAAGTTCAAGGGTTGGGTTGTGTGTCCAGCAGTGGACGGAGTGGACGTAGCCTACAAGAAAGTTGGTGATGGTCACCCACTCAGACTGTGGAAATGCAGCGTTGAAATTGGTGCTCCCCCTGCAGACATCCTACAGAGAGTCCTCAGAGAAAGGTGAGGACCATTGACTACCAAGCTCTGCAATGCATGGAACATGTCTTTAATTTACTCAAAGTAGGCCATGCAGTGCCTTTCTAGAGGACTACATGTATAAACCCTTTGAACCATTTCAGTCAGTGGAATATTACAGCACTTCATTTACCACTCTAATTTCTCATTTGTCTGCAGACATCTATGGGATGAGGACTTGGTGAAGTGGCGGACAGTTGACGCCCTGAATAAGACCACTGAGGTATTCCAGTATGTGGTCAACTCTATGGCTCCTCACCCCTCTAGAGACTATTGTGTCTTGAGGTACATAAGGTTTCAGCGTTTTCTGTATTTAATCCATTCCTACTTAAATTTCACAATCAGTGACTACTTGATAAATCTTGATGATGAAAATTTTTGTAAGGAAATTTGAATGTGGTACTAATGATAAATAATAGGTGGAAACTGTTTGATATGAAATCATGGTTAACCACTTCCTGCCGGGTGGAATTCGCATATGCGGGACGAGCTGCCAGGCGATTTTCAAGATTTTTCTTTTTCAACATTCTTCAAAAATTCATAACTTCGTTTACCTGAGGTTCACACCCACACAAATGACCATCTGGTGTCTACTCTAATCTGATAGGCAACCTCCATTGACGCCCTGAGTATTGCAGCCAGGCCTGCCGCCTTGTAAAGATAGCCCACATCGTGCAGTATTTCAAAATTTCCTTTGTTCCCGAAATTGGCCCAGTGCATTACTGAATGGCAGTGGTTTCTTTTCAAATGCAGCCAGACTAGCTTGCAGCAGTACTGTATCGCTCATTGCTGGAGTACTGGAGCACTTTTGCCCCCTCCCCCCCCATAATCCGTGGACACTGAAGAGCATAAACTGTTTCAAAACAATGACTGATTACCTCCGCTAATGCCAGCTGAAAAATGTTGGCAATTCCCCGCAGCTCGGTTTTTTGTTCCGAGTATGGTCTTTCGTTACAAGGCCCAGCTCCTTTGTCCAATTTCGGGCACCCCCGGCTATGCATACAGACCCAAGGTACCTGGTACTAGGAACCCTGGAGGCAAGTGGTTAAAACACATTTTTTTTTTAATGCCACCACAATTCATCACTAATGCCTCATTCTGCATCCTGTAGAAAAGTAAGAGATTATCAGAGAAGTTTAGCTATGGAATGTAGCAACATGTAACTAATCATATGATGACCGTCAGAAAGTGAGCAATGGTTCTTATAGATATACTGATCTTGAGTCAGTACAAAGTGTGTTTAAGTTTGAAGTGACTGTCCTAACTGATTAGCCTCATAGTTCATAGCAACCAGCAGGTTACAGCAGGATTGGTCGTGTAAAATCTGATCTAAATTTGACATCCAGGGAATGTTATTAGACACCCAGTGTAGGCAGTGGATTCTCATATCAGTTTGATAGTGGGGATGTGCGTCAAGTAAAATTAAATTTGCACATTCATGGTCTTGTTATCTGCAAGTTAAGGCTCTGGAGATAACTTTCCAGTCCAAGTGTTTGTGTTTAGCCTGAGCTGGCGCCAGTGCCTCATCAGGAGAGATAAGGGAGAATATCCACTACCTGGCAACAGCTCAGACCCTTCAATCCCAGGCAAAATCAAATTCCTGGCTTGACATTTGCTGACCCTTCAAGAGGTGTGAATGTGTTGACAAGTGGTGTGCTACAAGAAGAATTGTGACGTTTGTAGCAGAAAGATATAAAAAGTGGTCAAACGATACAACAAAAATTATATTAAGTCAGTTGATATATTCTACATAGAGGAGCTCCTGAACTTGGAAGCTATAAGCAGTAGCTGGATCTGGCTTTCAGATTTTGTTGTTTCCAAAGAGAATAAACCACTATCTGCCAGTTGGAATTGGCATATACGGGACGAGTTCTTGGGTAATTTTCAAGATTTCCCGTTTTCAAAATTCTTCAAAAATTCATAACTTTATTTACTGGATGCTTACACCCACACAAATGACGGTGTGGGCTACTCTAATCTGATAGGCAACTTCCATTTACGCCCGAGTATTGCAGCAAGGTCTGCCACCCAGTAAAGAGAGCCCACATTGTGCAGTGTTGTGTAATTTCCTTTGTTCCCAAAATTGGCCGAGTGCATTTCTGGATGGCAGTGGTTTCTTTTCAAATGCGGCCAGACTAGCATGCAGTGGTACTGTATAACTCATTGCTGGAGCGCTGGAGCACTTTTGCCTGCGCTGATAATCTGTGGGTGCTGAATGCCTCAAACAGTGGTATACCATTTCAAAACAATGATTGATTACCTCCAGTAACGCCAGCTGAAAAATGTTGGCAATTCCCAGCAGCTTGGTCTTTCGTTCCGAGTGTGGTCTTTTGTTACAAAGCCCAGCTGCTTTGTCCGATTTTGGGTAGCCTGGCTATGCATACAAACCCAAGGAGTCCGCTACTTGAAACCCTGGCACCAAGTGGTTAATACAAGTTATGGTTTATTTCAAGTAATTTATAAATTTTGTATATTTCAAGTCTGTCTGTAAATGAAGGTAGCATTGGTACATATTGTTGAGTTGTGTCATGCACAAGTTAATCAGGTTGAGTGTTTTGGTTAACCGTTAACAAAGATGTTTTGGTATTTTGCCCATTTTCTCTTTCAACACTTTCCTGTGTGTGCTTTCAGATACTGGAGAAATGACCTACCTCGAGGCACTAGTGCCTTGGTCTCCACCTCCATTGAGCACCCTGATGGGCCTCTCATCGGTGGTGTGCGAGGCACAGTTCTAGCCTCGCGCTTCCTCATTGAGCCCTGTGGTTCTGGCAAGTCCCGTCTAACGCACATCTGCCGTGTGGACACCAAGGGCCGGACTGTGGACTGGTATAACAAAGCTTTCGGCCACATCATGGCTAGGCTGGTTGGTAAGATACGAGACCTGTACATTCATGAGGCAGAGGGCCCAGAGACTAAGGTGTGAATCCCTCAGTCACCGAAGCTAATTCCATACAAATATATACGTCTACCATATAGGGGTCTTGGTTTGTGCTCCAAACCCTTTCTGCTCATTTGTGTACTTGTTGGTTGGTGTTTCATCCAGCTATGATGTGGATGGGGTGTGTTTGTTTTCATGTTCTTGGTGGCATTTGGATATTTTGCAGATAATCTTTTCTGGTCATGAAGAGGTAGCTACATCTCTGATTACAGATATACTCATAAGTATGGATGATTAATGTCCTAAAGAACTTTGAAGTATGCTGCAGAGCAACTACATGTACTAGTAAATTCCATTCCAGTTCATCTCGTACAGTCAACACCACTATACAAGGTGCAAATTAACACGCAGAAGCACCATGTTAACAATGTGAGTCTGCCAGTTTAAGGGAAATGTCAGCTTCACATTTGAATGTCTATAATAGAAAACTTTTTCAGAAGAAAGATAGAAAATTTGGGAACTTTGAGGGATTTTTAAAAATAATTTCCGTAACAGTCTGTGCTCTCACTTCTTAAGTGCATTGTTGGAAGTGACAATCTAAATGTAGTATGGATGTGTGTATTTATGTAGAAATGCTGATGTATGTACTCAGGTTTATTTTATTGTGATGCATATTGTTCGCACAGTGAACCTAAATATATGTGTATAGTATTTATATTATGTAACCTTTGTACAGCTTAAATTATGTATATAAAGAGACATATAATCCCAGTAGACGAAAAACCGACACATACCATTATATGGTAAGAAATGCTATTTTTAATATTTTTTCATTTTCAAACAAAAAAATATCCTTTCCATAATCAACTCATTCATGTGTATTTGCTCCTAAAATTGAAATTATGAAATGTTCAAATGCAGTGGCTTAAATCTGTAAACCTTTTTTTGTGGTAGCGTTTTTTCTTTGATTTGTTAGAGAAAAACAATGGAATGTTAAAAATGTGGTAAACCAATCCAATTTGGTGGAAAATTTGTTTTTACGTGTATGGTTGCATGTGGTGCTTCTACATTTTATCATGATGTTCTTGTGGGATTCTAATGCTAGGTTATGTAAGTTTTTCTCCAAATAATCTGACAGATTTATAGATAACATGTCAATTGAAGTAACTTAGACTTCCTACCTGTGTCTTGTTCAAAATTTTTCTGTGATCCAGGAAGTTTTTTTCCTCCTCAGATATACAGTGTTGTGTATTCCCGCCATTCCTTAGCCATCTAAAACCCTGGGTTCTATGGTTCAATTTGTACATTACTGCTACAGTGAATCCAGTCTGCCAAGCTGAACTTTCTGCACAATAGCGTGAGTTAATTAAATGAACTTTCAGAGAAAAAAAGTGGCTTGATTACAGACTTGTGCTAAGCCATGTTTCAGACATAACTGTGTTACAGCATAGAGAAGTTAAGACTCACATACATGTACGTACAGCACAGGAAGTAGTCATATGAGTAAAAAATGTAGTGACTCTTGACTGACCTTCAGTGTTTTCAAATTCTGGGTCTAACATTGGTCACTTTATGACTGGTAACATTTTCTGTATTTTTCTTTAAGTATGACCCCCGTAGAAAAGTTCATCATTTGTTAAAGTTGGTTATGCATTTTGTTTGAATGGTAATTAAATGATATTGGTAAAAATGCTGTGTATTTGGCATCTTTTTCCTCATGAAATATTTCACATTTTACATTTTTGCCCTTAAAAGCTCATTTTGTGCACTAGATAACACTTTTTGAATTCTTCTTAAACCACAACTGCCATGACATAGTTGATCACATAATCAAAGAACATGTAAATTAATTTCAGGCATTCAAACACATCTTGTGCAGTTGAAATCAATCAGGTTTGAAACTGAGCACCTACACTGAATTCATATGTGCATCTATCAAGTACAGCCTGCCCTATGTGAACTCAGTTGTGCAGCATTACCTTACCTTTACTTACTAAAGTAGATGGTTTCTGTAGGATGTAGGCCCAGGCATCAGAAGGCAATCTGCAGTAGGACCTTTGCCTTCCTTAAAAAAAAAGAATACTAATTGTGAACAGGACATCAGACTTCTTTTGAAATATATCTCAAAGTGCCCTGCTGTGAGCACAGGCACTTTGTGCTCGGTGCTGATCATTTTTATTGTTTGCTTTTATAATGATCTGCAAAATTTGACAAAAAGATGCTTGCATATTGATTGAGATGCTTCAAGCTGTGTTTGTACTGTGAAGTTCCAAAACGATACGTACAAAATTGAATTTTTTTGGCAACACCTCTCCTAATACCAATGTCCGGCTGTGTTGTGGTGTACTTAGATGTCAAAGAGTGTTTCCTGTATGTAATGTATGCTTACAGTTTTTCTCTTGTAACAATACTATGATCATGGAATACAAGCTTGTACAATTGCTATCAAAGAGGCACGCTTAAATATGACATGCACATGTGTACATTGGTGAAGGATGTCACCACTGAAATTTGGTGTCATTGTTAAGTATTTATTGGAAGACAGTTTCCAAGCCAGTCTGGCTTTTGGAACACGTTTATCACTATTTCACCTTGTATTTACATAGTGTAAGTATTCACTTGTAGACATAAGTTATTTGTATGTGGGTGGAGTATGAGTTGCAAGCAGTCTGCTATTGCAATCAAGTTATTTGTTTTGGATCTCTGTCTGCATCACAGTAAGTTAAACTGGCCAGAAAACAATATTTTGGTAACATGTAGTAGCATACATTCATCATTGAATTGTCTATTTTTTAATGTGGTACTTGAATGGCTTTGGAGCAGGAAACCCATTTTATCATCACTGACTCTTGGTATAGCAAGTAGCATTTTAAGTGTAACAGCACGGTGTACAGTGTGGTTGCTTAAGCGTGAATATTGTTCCATAAGAAAATTAAAACAAACTTTTTTGACTGCTGATAATAGATGAAGGCCACAATGACTGTCTTGGAGTTAGTGTATTGATATTGTAGCTGTTAGTACAGAATATTATGCCGATTTCATGATAGTTTGTGTCTTCTTAACAACTTGTATGACAACTGTTTCAGATTTGCAGCTGATGTATTTGTAGCAAATGTATCAGCACAGTGCTGGATCTAGGGTTTTACATAGACTATGAAATATTGGTAGTGTCTTACCGGGTACCTTTGCCCTATTTTATTTGAGATGATGAGCAGTTTCCTGGCACTTGAGGAAAGATGAGCGAAATGGTGGCATTGTTTAACACAGTGTCTGATGAAATGTCAGATATAGGCATTTACTCTGACATGGGTCATAACATTAGGAGGTAAGACAAAGGAACAGTTACAAAGAAATGTCTTGAACTTGTGGATTGACCTCTGTGTATTTCAATTCATTACATAGTGAATCCAGAAGTAATTTCATTTTTAATGTTGTATTCTTGGTGCTTACTGGGTTAAATTGGAACTTGATGTTCTGTGTCTATTATTGGGTAATTCTTACAAGCCTTATGTCTACCTCTAGGGTAACTGTCACTGACATTGGCTTTTGGGATAAATTATCTTCGAATAAAATGTTTGTTTCAACAGGGTTCCATGATTGGGAAAATTTCTGCAAGTTCAGTCCTTCTACAACTGATGAATGAAATCTGTCTTTCAAATTTGTCTTTCTTTTCTTTTTCTTTGTTTTTTTTTCTCTTTTTCTTTTCCTTTTATTCTGTCCTGTTTTTGTGGTTAGAATTCTAGAGAAATGACTACCTCCACATTAGTTTCAGTGCCACACAAGTCATGTAAAGCCATAGCATTTCATTCTTTTTTTGACAATTTGTATCTCGGGTGTACGTAACGTCTTGATGTATTGTTGAAGTATCATTCAAATACTGTGTATTTTACTTGATGTCTTATTTATTCTTGAGACAGGCTTAAGTACAGTGATACATGTAACCTACCACATTATGTTAATTGTAATTTGCTCTGATTAAATGCAATATAATGGAATTGTCAATGTATAATGTTAAGATTGTATTAACAGAAATAAAATAAACTGTGCTATAATAAGGGAAAGTGGAAAAGTGAAGTTTCCTTCACCTCTTGTGTTGATTTGTTCGTAAACTAACATGATTATGAATAGATTTCAACAACTATTTGGGGGTTCTATTAAAGGAGATTGATATCTTAAACATCAAGAAAACATTTGCAATTAATAAGATATACACAAGGGCCCTGTCCTAAACAAATTGTGGTCTAGAATTGGTGTGACAGTGAGGATCTTGTCAAGAGAAACCACATACCAGCATTTGCACTTTCTACACCCTGTTACGAAGCCACCTAAAACTTGATAGCCTGAAAAGTTGAACAAATTGGAATGTTGAAACTTAATATTGTTATTCAAATTCGAAATCTGGGGGCAAATTATATTAGAATACAACATATTTTCCATCTTGAATTAATATGTACATGTATTATTAATTAAACTCTTCAGCACATGCAAAATGAAGGTTGCGTGTATTGGTCTTGGGTGGGATTTTTTTCTAGAAGGGGCAACCTCATTTTTGGCAGGGAGGATCAAAATACGACTAGTAGACTGACAGATTCTACTGGAACGTGCCCCTTAATACGGCTCTCTACAACATTTTCGTAAATCACTGCAGAATCAACCCAAAAGCCATGGGGGGCTCTAAGGCAATTAATACTACACTTGCAATATGAGGCTACGCTAGGGATGTTCCACGACACTTTTGCCACAATCGTGCCACATTACGTAGATGATCGCAGGCAATCGCTGGCACTGCAGCTCCAGGCTAGATGATCCAGATGCACTGTATTTTATGATAGCAAAGATCTTGTTATGATTGTAAGTGATTAAACTGCACTCATGCTTGGCTTCTGGAGCGTTCAGGGGCCTTTCATGTATAAATCGGCGGAACTTCATGTTTTTCTGTCAGTTCAACCCCAGCCTCTGCCTAAGATAGATGTCCAAAATGAAGTGGCCTTTCAGATTGCCATCCTCCAGAAAGAGCTATTGGATAAGATGGATGAAGAAAAGAACCAGTTGGAGGAGGAGGCCAGAAAGATCCTGGGTGCATCCCTGGCTGTCACAGAATACAGAGGCAGGACACCAACTTCAGGCGAGCCCTTGAATCAGGGATAAAGCTGACAGTCACTATCAGGCCTGGCCTCTGGAGATAGGTACTCCAGCCTCTAGTATGACTTCAGGGTGTCCAGGGTGACTATCACCAAAATCATCAAAGAAGTCTGCCAGGTAGTAGTGGAGGATTTCGAAGAGGAATTGGTCCCCTGCCCAACCACAGAAAAGGCGACTAATTGCTGAAGAATACCATAGAAGATGGAATGTGGCATGTGAAAGCATGTGATCCTCAGACCCCCCCCGCCAATAGTGGCACCTGTACCACAATGGCAAGGAGTTTGTCAGTGTGGCCCTCATGGATCTGATAGATGCTCACTACAAGTTCCTCTGGTGGGGTTGGTTACAAGGCAGACACCCAGATCTTCAATGATTCAGAACTCAAGGAGTGATTCAGAACTCAAGGAGTTCTGAATCAAATGTGTCTTGATGAGTGTCGCAGGGCCAAATCCACTACCCAATGATGACCAGCCCACACCCTATGCCTACTTCATCCAGGGAGATGATGCGTTTGGTCTGACCCCAGAACAGCACATCTACAACTGCAGGATCTCCAGGTAGCACCATGTAGTGGAGAATACATGTACATGCGTTGTGCACCGAGTTCACGTACTAGCTCGTACTATAATAGTGAACCACAACAGGATAAAGCAGCAGCAAGGGAGTGCTAGAAATGGGTCTTGGCTGTAACTGGGTGTGTCTACAGTGCAGCGAATCTTGAGAAAATCAGAATATGTTCTGAATTCGAAATTCTCTGATGGGAAGCTATTAAAAAGTACTTTATTAGGACTCCCTTCACAATTCAATTATTTTCACATGGACAATCATGTATATGCATTTCTTATTTTTGACATTGATGTGCTCGTATTTGGTTGGTTTGGTACTTTTGCCTGCATCGGTTTGTTTAGAAGATCAAAAAATGAAAATGACACCCAATGCAAATAATCATTGTTTCCGGAATTGGTGGGTAAATTAAACGAAATACACGTATTTAAAACCTGATCACCATAGCGCAGCCTTGAATGATCGCTAAAAGTCATTAATTGAGAGGAAGGACAATGCATTTTTTTTTTCAACGATCTACCTGTATTGGACACGACCTCTTTGTAGGATAGGCTACGTAATGCAGTTTATGAAGCCCTTGCAAAGATCAACTCAACCGTATCACTCAAGAATACTCTAAATCGGAAATGAATGCAAGTAAATGCAAATATAGACCATAAAAATATACATTATGCAACAGGCATCTATGGTATTTTAAAGGAAGCTGAGTCAGAAAAATTACTATTGAGCATATTTATATCACAGCAGCTTGTGTGGTCAATTGATCGTCGATCATGTTAACAGCAGTACATTTTTTGTTGGCAATAATGCTCTACAGGGGAGTTAACTGTAATTATGACGCGGTGACTAGCGATTTTAAAAATAGCAACATGGTAAGTTTTACTCCTTGATAATAGCTACCCATATTATTATAAGTTTTCGGGAACTCAGGGTTGCGTAGTTTTGGGGGGATAGGTTTTTTTTTTTGGTGGGAAAAAGTGTGTTTTGTTTTTGGTTTTGTTGTCCCCCCCCCGTTCACCTTTGCGGCCCGTATTCGATTCTCGGCTTGCCCCACACGTGGATTGGTTTTTCAGTCTCTACCTGATCATGGGGTTTTACTCAGAATATTTTTCTGGGGGTTTTCCTCCCACCACTAATCCTTTAACTTAGTCTCATCGTGGAGATGTTCTATGTTCTCATTGTTTCCTTTCTACACGTTTCTTCATGCAGGCTTACGAGCTTTGGTGCCTTTGGGCGATTTTGAGTAATTTTGGTTTCATTGCCAGACATGATTAACTCAGCATTAATAGTTGTTTGCAAGAATTGCCGCCGTATCAGCAGATTCTCAGCAGATTCGCAGCTTGTAACCGAATTATCTATTCAGAGTGCGGAACATGAATTTGTCTAATGACCAGATTCAGTCAAGTATGTTCCTTCATCTCTTAGGAATTTTCCATGCTGAATGTTACGTGTACGAAAGATCAAAGTGCATGCGCAGAATGTTTCACAGTGCGGGCCAATGGACTAATGTGCCTGTGTGAGTATACACGTTAAGTTCATTTCTGATAAACTTTCTACTGCTCACATTTCAGAATGTAGCCTACCATTGTACTTTCCTTGTCTAAAAAAGTAAATGCAGTCAGTGAACGTAGGTTATCATCATTTTTATCTTTAAAGATGTGATGGAATTCACAAAGGACCCGCACAGCTACAAGCTGTCTGCAATGGATGGAATCAGTGAGTGGGACTTTGAATTCCTACAAGGTAGGCTGGGACAACCCAACAGTGAATATACTGGATGAGACCGATAGACCAGCAGAAGCCCGATAAGCAACATCCTCACGAACATACAAGTCACTCATTCCATAAAATCCAAGAATGTGGCAATTAACAACAGTTAGGGGAGTAAATGAATATAAGTGGGGGATTTTACATAGGACTGCTCCGTTGCGTTGTATAATTTTTGGAAGAATGGTTTTTAACTGAACTGAAACCACCCCAAGAAACACTCGAGTGTTTTTCCTGTAATACTTTAGCGAAGACTCCTGTAGATAGGTAAGAAATAATTTCATTAATTGGTACGATATTTCACTTCCAGATCATGCAGTTTTTAGGTTCTATAAATTGATATGCTGGTACATACAAAGACCCCTTTTGGGCGTGATTTTTAAGAAGTAAATGAACGAAAAATAATTTCAAACACTGAAATTTGTGCACATTAATTTTTCCTACCCAAGGATTCCGAAAGAGCGCCATCAGGGAGTACACTTTCAGGCTAATTGTCGGTACCATACCGATAAATGCGCTTGAAGCAACAGTTTGTCCAAGAAAAGCATTCATCTGGCGTATATTTCTTTAAACAGTTTTAGTACTGTTTGCATTGTTGCCTATTATTAAAGTGATGCTTCCTACAAGTTCCAAATCTTATATTTAAACACAACCTTAATACATTTGGGACACCACATTGTCAAGGTGTTCACAAAATATTCGTGACATACTTCATTCACTGTAATGCAATCTTTGCATAGCTTAGATAGGTCTGACGAAGTTCTTTTTGTCTCCCGTATCAATTCGCAGATGATTCGTCAGGGCAAGTCCGTTTCTGCACTCAACTGCAAAATTCTTTTGACAAAGGAGTAAATGCAGATTGGAGAGATACCCTCTGCTTGGACAACGATTTCTCGGAGGTTACTGTGCCAAAAGAATGTGGCAGTCCCCTGATAACACTGACCATCGACAGTCATATGGGCAATGGCCGTGTAATGGGTGGTCAGTATCTCTACTGCAGTCCCTAATGGAATTATCGCGTAGCCATTTCAATGCATGACGCAACGGTGCGTAGCATTATGTAGGCCTATAGGCTTCAAAAAGCTGTATGAAAAAGGATTTGAAAATGCAAACTCTTAAAAAGCTTCTTCTGGTCCTGTTGAATTCCATTTCGGTCACTCTTTGTTGTTGCCATGCATGCTGTACGTATCTCTGGGCCTTCCTCTATTTAATATCAGTCAGATTTCCACATTTTATGAGCAAGAAATCTAACGTTTCTAGGTCAGATATTCAAGAGTTAAAGAGCTTTTTTACCATAATGATTGAAATTGTGATGTACGAACTACTTGTATTCATATGACTTTCTTTTGAGAGATTCTTGACTTGGTATTACAGCCATTAAACCACGGACGTATATTTGAAAAAATGGACTTGCAACGCCTTTGTATGAAAGAGAAGCCAACCAGCGGCCATTTTACCGAGCCGAATACAAAAGCGTGGGTTGGCTCCCTTCAATTGACGTCAGGAAGAACAAAGGCGGGCATTGTCAGGAAAGCTTTGTATTAAGCTCGGTAAAATGACCGCGGGTGGATTCAATGATTCTTTATATCAAGGGCATTGCGAGTCCAGATTTTATTATACACGTCCGTGTATAATAAAAAAGACAAACGACCAGGCTTAAAGCCTGGCTTAAAGCCTGGGCGTTTGTAACGCAGACTGAAATTGAAACAAAAATGGCGTCCGAAATTCCGTGATTTTTGCGGGAAATGTGCTTTAGGTTGCCAAACGTCTACTCCAATTGTATGCATTTCATTGACGGTCAGCTATTTAGTTGATCGTAAGGGTGTAATATTTAAGCACTAAGGAGAAAATTGGCAAGTGGAACTAAGCGACAGGGACAGTGCACGCCGGTCATGCTTGTCTTGGGCCAAGACGGAAGAACTGCGATCAGACTCGATCGAGCACATGCCACGGCGGCGCGCGCCGATTTCTGCTGCGCCTTCTCGTGAATTAATTTCACCAATCGAGCCGTCGATTGGTGAAATTAAATCACGAGGGGGCGCAATAGAAATCGGCTTACGCGGCATAATATGGGGGTAATCATGTGGTGGGATGGCTCTGTAGAGGTGCTGGTCACCTGTTCCATATTGCCATTCACTGGCTTTTTTTGGATTTTTTTTCTACCCGTCATCTGATTGTTGTGTCATGTCAAATGTTTTATGTATATGTTTTTAATGTATTAATTTTTTGGTCTTGTTTTACAAAAGCCAGTGGAAAGTATAATAAAATAAAAAAAAAATAAAATACAGTCCACTGGTTCAGGCCTCATTGAAAACAGTGTAAAATCACCATTGTTCAGAGTTCAATAACATTCAAGCCAACATCCCTGGGGTGGCTCACACAAAAATGTAATTATTATTTGGTATTCAATCTTTCAGTTTCTTTTCAATTTTCGGGGGGTTAACCTATTACATTTTTAATTATTCACCCAAAGCAAAACCAACCCTGGCCCCAAAAGTCGAAGTTCCAAAGTCAGCACACAGACTTCCTCGGGCCTTTGGGAACATTTTTCAACAGTATTTTTATATCCCTTCTGCTCTCAGATGGAACCCCAAAGAACCCGGGACTTGATCCTGGCAAATATTACGCAATCTCACCATTTTGGGGCTCAAACAATCCCTTTTTCAAAAGATACTGTGGAAGCACTTTTAATGCTAATGAGCTTGGTGGAAATTATTGCTTGAATTTGTGGGCTGCACCCATATGCTCGATAGAGTCCGCTATCGAGTTCTGCCGTCTTGGCCCAAGACTATGGTCATGCCAGCATGCATTTGTGTATGGCCATAGTCATGGGGATATCACGGCTACACTTGACGCAGACAGTCGGCAAAGTAGACTTGCCTCGAGTCGGGATCTCTATGGAATTCCATATCTGCCGTCGCCCGTCGTGCGTCGCCTTTTGCTTTTTGTTGTGTCCCAATTCTGCCATTCACCAGTTCCACACATGCCATTTTCCGTCGCCCGTCGTGCGTCGCCCGTCGTGTGTCGTGCGTCGCCCGTCGTGCGTCGTCCGTCGTGCGTCGCCCATCAAATGGGTAGCATAGGACCTGCAAAGGCCGGGGTTTAACAAATGACACAGTCTAATTCTAATTATTTTGCATACAGTAAAAATGTGCCGACTTCTTTTCATCAAATTCTATAATGTAATCTGCCAACCGATACAGATATTCCATTTTGTCCTCTCAATTTCACCTTGAAATCAAGAAATACTAGACGTGTTGTGGATAACAAACTGTTTATTAAATGTATTGTGACGGGGCAATTACCACTTGGTTTAAGTTTCAGAAAATGTGACGTGTTAGTTTTTGTGGGTGTGTATGAAGTATACATTTACAGCCTGACACTATTCGTTTTAACGAATTTCTAATTCGTAATAACGAATTATTAATTCGAAATAACGAATAAGCAATTCGTAATAACGAATTACTAAATCGTAATAAAGAATTACGTGCTGATCCACATAGCCCCTAGATGGCGCCCTTTATTTGTCCACATCAAACGCGTGCTAGGCGCCCGTGGCCATGGGAATCACAGAGATATATTCGATTAGGGGTGCACCAACACAAACAGGCCTTAATTCCGTCGAGCTCGTTAATATAGGTTATACACTCAACATATTCTTTATTGGAGAGTTCTGAGAACCATGGGATTGGGGAATTGAAGAAAAATGGCATTGAACCTCTGGCCTGGACCCAGAGCTCCACTTCTGAGCAATTTGGATGTAATTGGGTCCGAAAGTGGCATTATTTAGCTGTTTTGCAGAGGGATGCATTTTCAAAAAGGCTGCTTTTCCGGACAGTGAAATTTCTTCATGTTAGGGGTGGTCTGCTTTGGGTGAGAATTTCTCAAAATTCATCGGTCAACCCACTAAAAATTGAAAGGAAAATGTCAAACAGGAGGACATGTCAAACATCATTTTGCTGTTCAGCTTGGACACCTGTGAGAGTTGTAAGTATTTTCAAAATAATTTTGAAATAAGACGTTTTATCATTGGTGTCTCTGGAAATTTATTGTTAGGGGTGCACCTTAGACGTATGAAGCATGCATGCCTCGAATCACATAAGAGTTAATGCAAACCAGCGCCATCTGGAGGCTGAAGTAATTCGTTATTTCGAATTAGTAATTCGTTATTACGAATTGGTAATTCGTTATTACGAATAGTAATTCGTTAAAACAAATTCGTTATTTGTTATTTCGAATTTTTATACTTCATTGGCACGATTGGGCTTTCATAGGTAGGCGTTTTTGTTTTGCTTTGTTTAAATAGACAACTATCTGGGATACTATGGCCTTTCCTGTGGGAAAATGGTTCTACTAACATCTTTAGAGAAGACGACTCCTCGAGCCTTGTGGGAGGTTTCCTTGTTGAAATGTTTAATTTTATTTCTCTTTGAAAATAAAATAATCCTCAGGAATCTTAAGAGGAATGTAGTCCGTTGGTTTTGTTGGTTGAGGAGGAAAGACCACAATTTGGGATTTGGAAATTGAAATAAAGGAAAGAGAGTTCATAAACACAGCTCTTTGAGGTGCGACTGTCTTTATATCTTCAAGAATCATCCAGAAGTGCCCCCCCCCAAACTTTGCACAAAGTTTTCCCTGGACTGCACTCTTGAAATTTACGCTTTCTACTTCACTCTATTTCAAGCAGGTTCTCGTCGACCCGTCCTTTACAAAGACACCGCGTTTGTAAACATGCATATCGGCTCTTGTACGGAGCCACGAAAGGGACATTGGGTGACGCCTCATTGTACCATTAAACAGGAAAAGCTGAATTTTTCTTTCCTATTTTTGGCATATGGGTCATAACAATATCACAGCAACTATAACACATGCTATGCTTCCACTTGGAGAGACTAAAATGACGCAAAAATCTGAAAAACGTGAAAATTGAGCCCCTTCCATTGCTGATGGTTGCTCATACAGTCTGCTGACGGTGTCGTACTTCCTCCTCCAACCTTATATAAGGGCTTGGTAACACTGTATTATCGCAGTGGTGTAAAATCGTGCAAGCGGGGGGGGGGGGTAGGGTGAGGGTAATATAGGCTATGGGGGGAAAGAAGGGACCTCCAATCTGATCCATTTATGGGAATTGGAAAGCACTGTCGCTCTACAAACGATGCTGGCATTTTTGTTTGGAGGGTTAAGGGTTTTTCACCGATGATAACACTGACAGTCAGTCAAAAAGGTCGCTATTTTGCTTCCCTGCAATCGAAATCGTGATAAGCTACTGGATATGAGTGATCGAACATTTTCAAACTGCCCAATAGCGCATCTTGAGCATATTTGCGAGCCTAAGCTAACATACGGTGGCTCACAACTGTCACGGCAAAAGCAAAAGGGTCACGGCAAAAGCAAAATGGTCACGGCAAAAGCAAAAGGGCCATGTCGCACGCGTACGTACATGGACCGTCGTTTCCATACACTCTGAACTGAGATTCTAGCTGTGCAGCATGCATGTGCAGATGTGTGAGACGCAGTGAACCATGGGATATTATTAAGTGTAGTGGTCAGCACACCGGTAAAGTTTATTATTATTGCATGAACACCATGCATAATAATAAACCATGTTTTGCAGCACCTGCCGACACGGCAGAAATACGGGCAACTTCTGCTCCCATTGTGGACAGGGTTAGCTATTCGTCATCTTCGATTGTTGTGCTTGATATGTATAGGCTATAAATGATTTGCTTTATTCAAACTAGAACTCTTTCTTTCCAATATCATAGGAGCTGGGAGAGGGTGCAAACCACGCACGGAGAGAGTTCAACGCATGTACACAGACATCACCCAGTGCACAAATCCTATGACTGCATTCGTGGTCTGAGTGTTCTTAATGCTTTGTTAGAAAATGCTCCGAACTTACATTTTGGGACATGTTATTGCTTCCGATAGATGACACACCAAACCATTTGCTTAACTAACTTCTGGCTAATTGTGTTTCTGAGTTTGCCCATGTCCCCCTGTTGTGGTGGTTTTGCTCCAGCTGTGTTTCGTTTGTATCTATCAGTCTCTTATCTTTGTGGGTTTTAAAAAGATTGTTATAAATTACAGTGGCTTAATCTTAAACGTACATGTTTTTCGTGGTTGGTTTAGCTAAATAGCGTGTTTGAACTTTCTTAACGTTTTTACTGGTTAAGTTATTTTTTAATTGCCCATTGTTTTTAAAGTAGCTTTTAGCCCAATTTTGTTTATTTGCTCTCAATAGGCTATGTGATCTACTCGAAGCGTCCTGAGCATTGATTTTTGGCGGACTTGACAAAAAATATCATTATTGCTATTACTATAGGGAAAAAGTTGGGTTGCCCGTATGTTGGACTCCCCAATACTTCTTGTTTTATTATAAAAAAAAGTGTTACCATGACCAATTGCCCAATTAAGCATGATATATTTACTCCACAGAATTTCAAGAAGGTGCATCAGACTCGGATGCAGAAAGTGAAGTGGGGTTTTATGAAGAAGCTGTGATTAAATATTATTTCTCTAGAGGTTTTGAATATCAATAAATCCTCCAATTACTTCACAAGAATTTTATCCACTGTATCAACTACAGAACACTTTTAAGAAGACTAAAGCAATACGGACTTTGTAGAAGGAACCCCGGTGCTCACTAACACCACTAATGGGCAAATTTCAGTATATACCTACATGAGCGCTGCATATGTCTTGTAAAATGGTTCATGTTTATTTTTCCATTAACCACGTTCTGAGGGAGGGCAATTCTCGAAAAATGATAACATCTTGTGCCCTTATTTTATTTTTGTCCATTGACTGATTTGAGCATGGATTAAGGATACCCGTTGTAGTTTTACGGTCGATTTTACGGTTAATACGGTCGATTACAAGAAGATAATTTAATTTGCTCCTATACTTCCCTAAGCCACGTGCATGGCAAAAACTACATGTATCTCCAAAACATACGGTCGATTCACATTTGTGCCCCATCCAAGAGTTTGCAATGTGTTGACCAATCACAGTGCGCGACCCCTTCCAACGCGCACTGTAGTATTGTGAATTGTCTGTATTGATTTCCTTCGTTCAAAACAGTTGTGTGCAACCAATGGTCCGTGGCGCAACACACCACATTTTACGTGGAGAAACTCTCCACAGCTTGATACTTCAGGAGTTTCCTGAAGTTTGAGAAACGAAATAATAATATTGTCCAAAGACATCAGGGAAGGATCCAATATTGTATTATTCTTTTTTTGTTGGGTGTTTTGTGAAATGTTGTTCATGGGAGGGGGATTATGTAGTTGTTGCCGTTGGTGAAGCCATTTAATCCCTCTGTGTTGTCCCCGGTCTTAAAATAAGAGGACTATACAAGGTTATACTTTATTTAGGGGGTCTTCCAAGCTTTAGACGTAGCCCCCCTCCCAAAACGGCAGTGAGCCGGGGGGGGGTTCAGGCCTGCACATTTATAAGCACCTGCGCATCAGTATCAAGGGCTTTGGCAAATTTTGACAGGTCCAGGGGAATGGGGCCACGCCCCAAATGTATTAATGGAAGTACAATGAGAGAAAAACATTGTGGGGAACTGCTTTATTTCCCCTACCCTCTTGATTACGTTTAAAAATTTGTAAATTTAGCTTCACCTATCAAAAAGACCATAAAAGGTTCCAGATCCGGGGGGGGGTATGCAAGATGTAACTGAAGGGTGCCGCGATAAATTTTCAGACATTTTCATAAAACCTAGCAGTTTCATCCACTTTAGTTTGTCTTTTCTTTACCTGTCGGGGTGTTTGTTTATTTGTTTTTCTTTTCTTAATTTTAAGCCCTTTAATTTAAAACGGTACAGTTTTAAGGAGAAAGGGCAAACGCGGTGTGGTATGGTGTCCACACCATAGAGATCATAGGGGTCCAGTCCACTAATTCAAGCCCCATTGAAAACAGTGTAAAATCAGCACCGTTC